GCCATGTGGTCACCTCCTGGGCAGGCGGGAATCGAACTCATGTGGAAGTGGCTTTAGCTTCTCAGTGCAGTGCTTTAACCCGCTGCGCCACCAGGGAGGGCCTAATAGATTGATTTTAAGAATAATAAATGTTATAATCATAGCTGAAGGATAACACGACCCTAAACTGTTCTTAGAAAAAAAAGATGATTGTAATCTCTCAGCCCAGTTCATGTGCTGATGTCATCCCACTGCTTGCTCCTAATGCATAAAATAAACTTCTGCTAAAGGCAGAACAGGAAGACTTGCACCCAACTCTGATTCCCGTGTCTTCCTCCATCCCCTTTCCCCTTTTTCTCCTTTTTTCCCTTTTTTAGGAAACGCTCTATGTCTCCGCTCCCACCTTAAGGCCCTGTCCTGCCCCTCAATAATCCCTGATCGGGGAGCAAAGGGTGTCCGACCTTGAGTATCAATTATATGCTAGGAACTGTTAGGCATGTGAGACACATCAGTTACCAGTGTAGACAAAGATCCCTAACTTGATGAGCTGTACATTTAGAAGGGAAAAACTGATGACATAAGAATAAAATAAGTTATATATGTTAGAAGGCAAATGATTCCTTGGAGGTTTCACTTCAGCAAGTATATTTTAAGCATCCTTTAAATGTCAGACACTGGGAATAAATTCAAGAAGGTAAACATGTATGGAGCTCACAGTCCAGTGAGGCCAGAGAGTAATTGGCAGGAGTAGGAGGAGGTAATGCAGGAGTAGGAGGTAGTGATCTATTTCTGCAACTGGCGCTAACATCCATATTTGCATTCTACGCCATTGCAGCCCCCAATCCACACTTTGGGAACCACTGTCTGAGAGAAAGCCGAATACCCGAAGAAGGTTCCGAAAGTGTGTTGAGGGACTTTTTGTACTTTGCTCTGGAAATTGGTCAACACTCATCTTTATACATTGAAGGGCAGAAACGCACTAAGTGCCGTCTTCCGTGCGGGTTGGTGACAAGATGACAGAATCTGCCAGGCCAGTAAATCACACTGGTTCAACTCTTTGGAGGAAGGGAAACACCCTACAGAGAGCCTGGAAGGTGAGCAGCAACCTACAGATGGTAATGGCGCAAGTGCAGGGATGGGGACCAGCATCCCAGTAACAAACTTAGCCGTTGCGGGAACAGCACCTAGTAAGTAGGAAAAGCAAGCGAAGACTCCGCGCATGCGTGCGGAGTCGCGCGTGCCTTACGGAAAACCGTTCTCTTTACTGTGTCCAGATTTAGGCAGACGCAAGGTAGGACCGTAAACAACCCCACTCTTCCGCTGCGGTGCCTCCCGTGGCCAGTAGGGTGCGCGCTCCTCAGAGCCAAGGCCTCGGTGGGCCGGTCTGCGCCTGCGCGGGGCCTCGCAGGCTTGGCGTAGGGGTTGGCTATGTCCTCTGCGCCCTCGGACTAAGATGGCGGCGGCAGCCCGGCGGGGCTGGGGAGCTGCGGCCGCTGCCGCGGGCCTTCGCAGGCGGTAGGTGACGAGCCCTGGAGCTCCATATTGGTTGCTGCTGGGCTTAGCCAGCGGAGCACTCGCAGCCTACCGACCCGCCCGCCCGTGGGATGGGCAGTAGTGGTCTGGCCAAGCCCCGCCGCCCTCCGGGGTTTCTCCTTTTAGGTGGGCGCTTATCCGTGAGGCAGCTCTCCGCCCCGCGTGCTGGCCGACTCCTGTGCCAGGCTGTGGGACCCTTTGCCTGACAGAGTTCTTACCATAGGGGGGCTCGTAGATACCGGCTGTAAAGACCGAAATAAAGAGATGTTTTCATAGCTTCTAGCCCCTCCAGCCCTTGCACCACGTGCATTCCCTCTGTCTTTTAAACACAAAATCAAAATGTCATACAGAATGGAAGCGAGTACCTCATCTCAGTGAGGCCCAGAAAGGGGATGTGACTGAGGTCACCCAGCTTCTAAGCGATGGAACTCTAATGAGCTTCAGATGCCTAGATTTCCTCCCCATCACCTAAGCCCACTGTTTTCTTGTTTTTACTCTTCTCTGCCCCTGACTTTTGAGTTTGGCCTCCCAGTGACATTCCTTGCTCAGCTTTGGTTAGGCGAAAGGCATTGAGGAGGCTAGATAGATGTTGAACCCTGATTTCTCTTCTGGAACACAAGGAGAAAGGGGATTAAGGAGTTTAACAGCGTGAGTGTTAGAAGTTTTACTATTAATGATGCTGCTGGAGTTTAATGCATTTCCTAAAAAAGATTGCTGAAGGAATTTAGTTAAGTGCCTTCTGTCTTCCTCTCACGTTTGGATAGCTGTCTTCGTTGAATACTTTAACTCACCTTTACTATTTTATTTTTTCACTTGAAATACAGAGCTCTTAGAATGTGATTTGGTTTTATGCACCTCCTGCCTTTTTCCTGGAGAGTAGGGGAAAGAGTACTAGTCTTTCCGTGTTATTTCCATATCCCACGATATTCAAAATTTAGGCAGTGAGCTATATAAAAATGTTTTCATCTCAGGCCTGGAACTTCAATAAATAATTAAGGGTCACCTATCACAGTGATCGTTAACTTTTATTGAACATTACTATTATTACATGACCTTGCACTGTTTTAAGCCCCACTCTTTATGAGGTAGCTGTGAATATTAACTTTTAGAGCTGTGGAACTGGAATCATCTGCTGCAGAAATGAAGACAGTCCCTACATACAGTATGTTTGCAAGTGAAAATCAGGGAAATGTTTTTTTAAATGATCATATATATTCTTAAAATTCAGTTACTCTTGTGAGTGAAAATATATAAGTAATAGTAGTAATGTAAACTTTACGGTAATTTACATCGATTTCTAAAATTTTTCACTACTGAAGTATTTTAATTCCTTTGCCAGTAATACTTGTTTTTACTTTGCCATTTATCTACCAGAGTGAAATGACCTACGTTAATAGGAATAGGTTTATATGTTTTCAGTCAAAAAGCATAGATTGTTAGCTTCTTTAGCATTTTGGAGAATAGTACACTTTCTGTTAGACTTTTGAAATATCGAAATAGCTTTCAAAATAAGTGGTATAGGTTATCTCTTTCCAGGAGTGTATTTGGTGGTAGAGACTGTTCACTATTTTTGTTCCCTTTGAATTTTGAGCCATGGAACTCTATTACCTACTCAAAACTTTTTTTTTTTAATAGGGAAAAAGTTTTGTAGTTCTGTTTTCTTGATGCACATTTAAGAGGCTGGGACTCCAGGTTGTAAATCACTAGCATAGATACATTTGTTTCTTATACTGGATAAGAATAAGTTATCAAGGCTATAAATTTATACTTGTACTAAATTAGGTTTTAACTTGTCTGTAGATTTAAAATATAAAAGAGGAAACACTGTTGTGTATGGAAAATGTAATTATACATATGAGAAGTAAAAATGAACTTAAAATATCTCTTAGGATATGTTTTATTTGTTTTTAATTGTAGATTCGGTCATATGATGAATCCATACACCATTAAGAAACAGCCTTTGTACCAGATTTTACAAAGACCACTTTTCCCACTACCTGAAACCTTACGTTACACAGGTAAAATTTCACTTCTTTAGAAGCAAATTAAATTTCAGAAGTTAGTGAAACTGATTGGATAAAATTTTGTGGATATAAAAGATGGGAATTTGTAAAATGTCTATTCAGATGCCTATGAAAGAAGGTAGCATTTTTTCCCTATCATAACATTACACTTTACTGTAATTATTTGCTTAGACATAATGCTGGTGTTAAGTTTCCAGAATCCCTAAACAGTGTCTAGTAGACCTATGAAATCTCAGAGTCTTGTAGCGTTTCTGAAATAAAAATACAAAAAGAAGTTACAGTTGGGTTCCTGTGTCAAAGAATCATGCGTTGAATATCCCTTAAAATCAAATCTTGGGCCCTTCCTGGTGGCGCAGCAGGTTAGGAGACAGCCCCGCAAGCTAGTCGCAGCTGCTTCAGTGCAAGTTTGATCTCCAGCCCTGGGTGTCATCCATATGGTGTGGCAGACCACTCCTGACCCACCCACTGCTCCCCTCAGCATTGTACTGCATCCGTCTACCTGTTCTGCTCCCCAGTCTGTTACGGGTGGATCCTCTCACTGCCCCTGCACCTTTGGCCTGCATAAATAAATAAATATTTAAGAAAGAAAAAAAAGAAATAAAATCTCTATCTTTTATCCACACCTAGAACCTAATACTTTGATTTTTTTTTCTTTTTTAAGTAAAAATTTACTGCTATGGCTTTGTTGAAAATCTTGTTAATGTTACACACTTTCATTTACTTAATATTGGAAACAGGATGAAGATAGGATTTGAAAATTAATGTAATATTGATGACACTCATGTTGTTAGGAAACTGTGGGAGGAGGGTGTATTTGTGTGTGACTGTATATAAATGATTGTGTGTAAGTGCTTTTGGATCCAATTCTTCTTAGCTCTAGGTCTATCTCTACCTTTATAGCCATGCTCTGCAGGGAGGCTCACTCTAGCTAATGGTTGGAGTGAATCAGGATAAAGACCTAACTTCTGTAGGTCTGGGGGCAATAAGAGTCTTCCCTTACCGGTCTCCTTGAATCACACAATTAGTTAGGCATAAATATTGAATAATTAAGCAGGTAAACCAGTTTGTACTTTAAATTTTTGTAGGATTGAATTATATTTTCATGACTTTTCAAATTGAAGATCCTCTAATTTTAACATTTTATATTGACTTTAAGCACAATAAATCTGTATTTTAGGTGGAGCTTATGGCCACTATTTACGTATTACCAATTGGTATCAAACCTAACAGGAAAATTATTTTAGATTAGTCTATTCTGTTGTCACCCTTATGACACTTTCAAGGGAAAATGTTAGTAACTTTCATCTGAAAATAATTCCCCAAAACAGATTTTCAGAGGAATTTATTGTTTGGAAGTATAAGTATTTTAAATCAAGTACTTAAGCAATGAGGTTATTTATTTTTAGAATTTGCCTGGTCACAGAGGCAACAGCTGACATCTTTATAGAACAGTGATCCAAATAAACGTATGGAAGTTAAGTTTAGATTTCTACTTCACCATGGAAATGACTCAACATCAGTTAGCTAGAACTGCATGGCAAGGTGCAAAAACAAGTCTTAGCTGTCAAATTAGACTTTTCTCTGTAATGGTTAAGAAAAGCACTTCTATACCAACCATATGTTTTGTCACATTTTATTTCTTTATAATCTAAAATGAAACTGTTGCTTTTTGATATTGTCAAGCTGTTGCTTTTTGATATTGTCTTTCTGACATAGTGGCATGAATATTATTACAAGATAGGAAGACATATATTAAATATCTTTACCTTTTATGCTTGATACTTATATATGGAGTTGTAGTGTGCACTATGATGAAACAAATCAGCTCTGGAAAAATAAGCTTGAATACTACCTCTATAACTTGTTGAGTGACTTTGAGTTTTAGTTTTCTCATTTGTAAGATGGTGTTAAAAAATGTCTTCTTGGGAGAATGTAAGGATTAAACTATGTATTTCTTATAAAGCACTCATCATCATGTCAAGCATAATAATTATAGTAAGTCCTCATTTAATATTGTCAATAAGTTCTTGAAGACTGCAACATTAAGTGAAATGTTAACAAAAATAACTGTACAACAGACTAATGGCTATAAACAAGAATAAAGTTCCTGTGACATTAGCTGGCTCTAAACATGTAATCAGATACTTTTAATATTAAACAATGATTTGTATTCACCCATTCATTTTTCAGCCTGCTTACTGTGATTCAGGGTTGAGGGTTTCCAGAGCACATTGTGGTAGCTCAGGGCTAAAGATGTGAACCAACCTTGGACAGGACAACTCTCCATCTCAGGGTGCATTTACACACACAATGCTACTCACACCAGGACACTTGACAAGCCAGTGAACCTGTTGTACATATCTTTGATATGTCAACATAATAAGAGGATGTTATTCCAGATCTGCTGCACTGAACACATTTTAGTTACTTTATATACACCGTCAACTGAATTCAGTATGTTGCTCTGGAATGAGGATTTATTTTTTTTGGTCAGAAAGTTAATTTTCATAAGAAATCAGGACATGTTTAATTATTTCCAAGTCATTTGTAAAATGGAAATAATAATACTTCTGAGGGCTGTTAAAAGCTTGAATACATTTAAAGTACTCAACCGTGGCATGTAATAAGCATATAATAAAGACTAGTTGTTATTGTATATTACTAACTTTGTCTTTAAGAGAGAGGTGGCACTTTGGAAAGGGGAGAATATAGTATATTACTGTATTAATATCACCGTGATAATAATTTATTATTATGATAGCCACTTGAAACAAGTCACTAAATGGAATACATATAAAACTCCTGAGTGATTACATGTCTTACTCATTAATTGTAGGTTATTGCTAGAATATATTGAGTAATAAAACTGTATCAATAATCAGTATTAATACAGAATTCAATGCAGTTATAATATATATAATATATTGATACTTTTTCCTTTTTTAGAAACTTATGTTTTATTTTAAACTTTTTATTGCCTTTAGAAATCGTTACTGTTAGCTTAGAGTATAATACCCTATTTTTTTTCTTTTGACTCTCTGCAAATGAGCTTTTCATATTCCATAGGTTTGTTAGTTACTATTTTTTTCTAGTAGACATTCTTCTTTTTTTCTTTTTTTAGCAAGATACATGTTTATTCAAACACAAGATACTCCAAATCCCAACAGCTTAAAGTTTATTCCAGGAAAACCAGTTCTTGAGACAAGGACCATGGACTTTCCCACACCAGCTACAGCGTTTTGCTCCCCTCTGGCTAGGTATGTTACAATTTTCTCTTGCTTTTACTGAAAAATCAGTTTTGACCTTAAGCCAGCCTTATTTAGAAATTGCATTTTTATGTATGCTGCATTTTTTTTCAGTGTAGAGATTATTTTCAAGTAAGAGATAAAGGAAAACATTAGGTAACCTTTTCTCCTGCAAGTGATGTATTTGTGAGATCTGTAATATGACTAGAAATTTATATTTTTGCTTCAATCATGGTAAATCTCCATTCTAAACTTTAATACTCTGTTTTTAAAAAGATAAAAACTTTTTTTTCTTTTTTAAGATTTATTTATTCATACAGAACTGGGGTACAGGCCAGAGGTGCGGAGGGTGAGAGGATTCGCCAGAGACAGAGTGGGGAGCAGAACAGGGAGATGATGAAGTACACTGCTGAGGGGAGCAGTGGGCGGGCAGGAGAAGTCTGCCGTGCCATGTGGATCACCTCCGGGGCAGGCGAGATCGAACTCATGCAGAAGTGGCTTAAGCTTCTTAGTGCTGTGCTTTAACTTGCTGTGTCACCAGGGAGAGCCCACTTTCTTTTGTTCTTAAGAGTGGCAAAATTTCTAGATGTTTTAAAATACTACATTCAAAACTATAGATAATAATAGTTATCAGATATAGCATGATTTAAAAAAAAACTAGTCAATAAAGACAGTTTTAAAACCCACTAGATAAACACATGTTAAATGTGTGTCAGGGGTCTCACTGGTGTAGAGGTTGAAGTCTCAGCAGTGTCAAGCTATTGCCCATTACTGTGGCATGAGTTCAGTGCCTGGCCAGGCAGCTGACCCACATGGCACAGCAGACCTCTCCTGTCTTGGCCACTGCTCCCCTCAGCAGTGTGTTTCAGTAAATCTGCTTGTTCTGTTCTCCACTCTGCTGCTGGTGAATCTTCTCACCTTCTCACACACCCTCCCCCCACCATACACACACTTCTGGCCTACACCCTAGCTCTTGTATGCATACATAAAAATAAATCTTTTTAAAAAATGTATGTTAGATGATAAAACGTGAATGATTAAATTATTACCATGATTCTTTTTTGACTAATGGCTAGGAGGAATTGGTTTTTATTTGAAGTAACATTGATTGATAGCTGCATATGTTTAAGTTTCAGGTATATCTTTGTACTTTGACTTATAAGTAAACTACTCTAAAATCCACCACTAAAACTATAGTTTCTAGCCTTTCTTATACCAGTGACCCCAGCTTACTAAACTGTACCCACCTCCTCTCTGGTAATCACCATTCTTTTGTCATTATCTAAGAGTTTGTGTTTGTTCATTTGCTTTGTTTCTTTCTCTTCAACAGTCACATGGGATTTGTCTTTCTCCCTCTCACTTCATTTAGTATAATCCCAGAGTTCATATTGTTGAAGATGACAAGATTTCCTCTTTTTTGGTTACCTCACTAGCATTCCATTGTGTACCTCTACCACATTTTTATTCATCCATTTATGGAGGGCACTTTAGTGATATATTCAGACATTCTGTGTCTTTTGATTAGATAATTTAGACAGTAAGTCTTTAAGCTATTACTAATAGGTATGTATTTATTGCCATTTTGTTAATTGTTTTCTGGCTGTTTTTATGGTTCTCCATTCCTTTCCTCTTTCTGTCTTCCTGTGAGGTTTGGTGAATTTGTTCATTGGTTATTTAGATTCCCTTTTCATTTTGTTCTGTGTATTTTCTGTAAGTTTTTGCTTTGTGTTTACCGTGAATTTCAGATATCACATCTTATATGTATAACATTCTCTTTTCAACTGGTAGCTACTTAAATTTGAATATGTTCCCAAACTTTACATTTTTGATCTCATCTTATATCTTTGTCTTATATCACATAAGTTATATATAACCTTTGTTAATTATTATACATTTAGTTAAATTTACTACTTTTATCTTTTAGTCTTCATGTTTGCTTTATAAGTGGCTGATCACTGCTTTCACTATACATTTACTTTTTCTAGTGACTTTTTTTGGTATGTTCTCTTGTTATTAGTGCCATTTCAGTTTAGTGACAAATTCCTGTAGTATTTGTATATCCAGGAAACTGTTAATGTCTTCTTCAATTCTGAATGGCATCTTTGCTAGTTAAGAATTCATGGCTAAAGTTTTTTCTTTTCAGGGTTTGGCCATGCTGCTTTCTGCAACATGCTAATACTTCTAACATTCCTGTTTAAAAATCTACTGGTAGCGCTAGGGGGTTTCTTTTGTATATATACAACCTGTTTTTCTTGTGCTACTTTTAAGATACTATACTGACTTTTACCATTTTAATTATATTGTGTCTTAGTATGGATCTCTTTGGGTTCCTCTTATTTGAAACTATTAGAAGTTACTATAATAAGAAATATTAGAGTCAGTTCACTTATTCTGTGTTAGTTTATTAGATAAAGTTCTGATCACTACGTAATTGATTTATAACTTACGGATAAGTTTGAAAAACACTATCAAGAGAATCCTCATAGATATTTATAAGGTGTGTATAAGGTTGTTCTTGTAGCTTGTTGGTAATGGTAACGAATTGAAAACAACTCATATTTATTCTTGGGAAGAGTGAATAAACTTTGTTCACCTATGGTTTGCAAATAGTAAAAAGTAGGATCTGTATGTACAGTCATAGAAAAACTTCTCTATCATATGACCTCTATGACTGTTAAGTGAGGCAAACAAGTTGTAAAACAGTGAGTATAATGTGATTATCATGTATATGAAAATAGTAAGTACAAAAATGCACAAAGCAAAGATCTGAAAGAATGCACACCAAACTGGTTAACAGTGGACTTGGGAATGAGATAATGTAAAAATTAAAAACAAACAAACAAAAAATTCCTATTTAATTACATTACCAATTGGCGATTATTTCTGTCAGATACTCAATTACAAAAGTCCCTTTTAAATTTTGAAAATAATCTATTTTTTGACTCACAGAATTTATTGTCTTCAATGAGGCAAAACTGACCTTGTTTTTGCTATCTTAGCTGAAAATGTTTTTGCCATAAACTGGAATGTAAGTTTCATGAGGACAGAGACCAATCTATCTTGCTTATCTTTGTATCCTTCCTTTTTATATTTAACACAGTGTCTGGCACTCAGTGACTATTCAAGTATTTGTTGAGTGAGTGAGAAACTAATTGAATGAATGAACAAACAGTATTATATCTTACTTCAGGGAGGTATGTAACTTATTTCTCACTATCATTATGGACTAAACAAAGAAATGTAAGCAGACTGTAAATCAGTGTGTAATGAT